ATTGTACTCTATCTTTATTTTCAATGCCTGAAGCATAGACGAAATAAATTATGGAAAGTCGAGAAAAAGGCTAAGTGTTCAGCATTGTGACTTTTACTCCACATGTTGGCTCCCGCCAACAATAACCACTAATGAAAGCCTCTGGGTGTCAACAATCATGCAGTCCTGATCTTGATTACCTGGTTGAAGTGAAGTGGAAGAGAACAGGAGGAAAGAGAATAAACTTACATTACACGAGATAAAGCTGCACAAGGCTGAGCCTTCCTGAATGCAATAAATTGATAAAAGAAAATTGAAGAAAAGACGACTGATGATGGAGTGTCTAGCTGGGAAATGCAGGGAGATGAAGTAGGAATTAATACAGAGAAGGAGAAGGCACCGAGGATAAAAAAAAAAGGGAGAGAGAGCTCGTAATTTACCAAAAGATATAGAGCAGAAAATTAAAAAAACAACTGGACACGGAAAAACTACAGAAAACAGAGAAGCAGCAAACATAATAACCAGGAATGAATGTACAAGGATGAGAAGCAAAGCAGCGTAAAATTTTGAAAACTTAATTTCGAAAGGAAAATCAGAAACGAAACTGTAATTCGGTCACATCACAATAATAATAAATAATAATAATCTTTATTTCTACAAGTACATTATGCAACTATTACAGGTCTAGCTGGCATCATTGGTATACTGTATAAAAAGCCTCTAGTTACGCAGAACATTTCGGGCAACTTAAGTTTATCTTGTCTCCACGGATGCAACCCACGTCAGTCGGCTAACACCCAGGTACCTACTTACTGCTAGGCGAACAGGGGAAGCAGGTATAAGGAAACATGCCCGACGTTTCACCCGTGCCGAGGATCGATCCCGGACCTTCAGTGTGTGAGCTGAGGACGCTATCAACCATGCCACGAGCACCTACAAGAAAGGCAACATAAAACATCAAGTAATAGGGCTAAAGAATGGAAGGAGGAGGCTTGACATGGAGGCTTGTTAGGAAATGAACAAGTTTCTGAAGGTGTTATCTATGGAGTCAGAGATATCACTAGAGAGACGAAGAACATCATACACACAACCTGGAAGAAGTGAATAAGTTATTGGGTGAATTAAACACATCCAAACCATGATAACCATAGTGTTATCATGGGTTCTGAAAGGAGATGATACGCTGAGCGAACAACTAGTGAAAATCTGCAACAGGTTACCGGAAACTGGGCAAGTGCCATAAAGATGGAAAACATTGAAATAGTACTAATATTCAGGAAGAGGAGAGACAAAGTATTAACTACAGACCTGTACAGTATGCATATTCTCTAAGGAAATAATAAGAAGATTGCAGGAGCACTTAGAGATACAGCCTGGTCAAGACTCTCTTATCTCCCATCACTCCTCCTGCGACACACTTGCTGAAGTTTTTAACAGAGGATAACAGAGATAAAACAGGAAAGAAAGAGGTGGCCTGGTGGCTAAAGCTCCCGCTTCACACACGGAGGGCCCGGGTTCGATTCCCGGCGGGTGGAAACATTTCGACACGTTTCCTTACACCTGTTGTCCTGTTCACCTAGCAGCAAATAGGTACCTGGGTGTTAGTCGACTGGTGTGGGTCGCATCCTGGGGGACAAGATTAAGGACCCCAATGGAAATAAGTTAGACAGTCCTCGATGACGCACTGACTTTCTTGGGTTATCCTGGGTGGCTAACCCTCCGGGGTTAAAAATCCGAACGAAATCTTATCTTAAATGTAAAAACTAAAGCGACATTTGATACTATATCACACAATACACTGAACCACAAAGTAGAAAAACAGTCATAAATAACGAGAAAGGTGCTACAATAGTTTGTTGAATACATTAGGGGCAAAAAGACAGTGCAACCATCCGGAATAATGCATCATGATGGGCAGATGTGACAAGTGGGGTCCCACAAGGGTCAGTATTGCCACCAGTGCTGTTTTCCTTATATGATAATACTATAGGGATGGCTAGAAAATAGTTGCTAGAATTTAAACCACAAGTGTATACTTATAAAAATAGAAAAGAAATAAGACCGGGTTAGGAGTATAGATTGGAGGGACAGACCGAGGAGGGTTAAGCAGGAAATCAGTGGTCAGGCAGAGGTCAACACAGAGACAAAACGTAAGCAGGGGCATAGAATTATTGTAATGTAATTAAAAGAACTACCGAGGTATAATCATCAAACCTCAGGGCAGCGAAACGTACGGTGTACTTTTCATTCACCTCTTCTGCCCTTGTCCGCCTAGCAGTGAAAGTGGTTCCTCTAGGTTACTAGACTTATGAGGGTCGCATGTTAAGAAAACTGCAATGTAGCTGTGTTAGGAAATTCTAGTCCTGCTTGAAGACAAATATATATATATATATAATATATATATATATATATATATATATATATATATATATATATATATATATATATATATATATATATATATATATATATATATATATATATATAAAAGGGTTAAAGAATTTTCATGTGGTTCATTCGGAGTGATATTAAACCAAACCATAGGAAAACCTTCTTCATTAACTTGAATGACATACTAATTCAACATTTGCTTAGAAAAAATTTATAAAACTTAATCTTCAGAAACTTTTCTTCGACACTGCATGAAAACAACATTTGGTGACCTTGATTCTTCCCCGGTTTACCACAAGTCTCTCTCAGAGCAGCGTAAGTAACCAGAGTCTTTTCCCAGTTTTAACTCAGGCAGTGACACATACTGAAGTTAAAATAGCATCATATATTAACGTTATGGTTCAGAGTTGCAGCTGCTGTGATATAAGGAGTGGAAACTATCTTAGTCTACCCATGACAATACCTATATATCTGCCAGGGGGATGGGGGGGGGTAGTAATTAGTGGGTCTTTTTCATGAGATGACCGGCTCGGTGACTCATTAGTGCTTTCTTAAATAAATCTATATATTATACAATTTGTAACAGCGCATGAATTGTTTATGTGTGTTCTTGAGAGCAAGGATCAGTTTTTAAACATTTGCTGTGCTAAAGCTCTGGTTTTTCTTCACTTAAAGCTTGATGATGGGAGAAGGACCACCCAGCACTATCACAGGACAGTTGAGTCGTAATGATCCTGGTTATGATCATATCATGACCTATTTAATAGCTCATTATGAACATCTTAAAATTAGCTGTTCTAATACTTATACAAAGACAAGATAACTCGAGCAAGATTCCTTCCCTCTTCCACAAGCAAGGAATATCTCCTTATTTCAGATTTGAGATATTATTAGCACAAGAAGAGGTGGATATTTTATAGATGATGTCATCTATATGACATCTATATGACGGTTTACAAGGTTAGCGAAAGAGCTAATTCTGTTTACCTAACACACCCATCATCCGGAATGGTTTTCCTGTCATATTCCATCACACAGGATGATTGTCACACTTGAGACAATAATATTTGTCAGGGTCAGCTAGACTTCACCAAGGCTTTATCACCCAAACATTTCACCATAAACTCAGCAGCTATGAGAGCCTTAAAGGTTACATTGTTACATGTCTGGAGTCAAGTTGATACTAGGCTTGCCACTTTGAATTGCCTAATCACATAATGTGTGGACATGATGTAGTCATGCCACAACAAATAATACCCGTAGCCTACGTTGTAGACTTCATCTATATACAGTAGTAAGAATAAAATTTTGTTATGATGGAGGATTTTATTCTAAACCACAATTCTTGAATTACTGTAATTTTTTTTTATATATTCCTTTTGGTTCCATATTCATTCAGTCTAACCATCGCTCCTTCACTTATTGTTCTTCCAGACACATTTGACTGGAATACCTGGAGGGTGTTCCAGGGGTCAACGCCCCCGCGGCCCTGTCCATGACCAGGCCTATACGTAGTTCAGGGTCTGATCAACCAGGTTGTTACTGCAGGCCGCACGCAAACCAACATACGAAGCACAGCCTGGTTGGTCAAGTACTGACTTTAGGTGACTGTCCAACTCCCTCTAGTGCTAAACATTCTATGATAGGTCAGATGTTGTATATATGGTCGTAAATAACATTCATTTAGAGCAGTGATGCAGCCACGGGAGGGGGGAGGTAAGGGGGTAGTGAACCTTCCCATCTCAGATACAAATACTCTTTAAACAAATACTCATAATTTTATTTTTTAAGTTAATTAATGGCTAATTTTTACCATTATACTGACCAGTGACAACGAGAACACAACAGTGTAAGATATTCCACATACATATTGAAAATCATATGTTTTAAAGGGGTTTTCTTTTCTTTTTTTTCCAGCATCTTATAATTTCTAAGACCACACAGACCGCAATCTTGGTTTAAACCTTACCAGACTACCCCAGCCTCGCTGACTAAGATTCTCCGTACATTATCCTGAAGTTCGCCAGATGCGCGAAAACTGTTAGTCGGTTGATGGGCACCTCTAGCTATTGTTCAGTATTATACTCAACCACTGGTCTTTCCCCACACCCACCAGCAACACAACCTCCACCCACACCCACCAGCAACACAACCTCCACCCACACCCACCAGCAACACAACCTCCACCCACACCCACCAGCAACACAACCTCCACCCACACCCACCAGCAACACAACCTCCACCCACACCCACCAGCAACACAACCTCCACCCACACCACCAGCAACACAACCTCCACCCACACCCACCAGCAACACAACCTCCACCCACACCCACCAGCAACACACCCACCAAAAAACTACAACCCGCATCAACGACCCACACCCATCATTACACCCCATCTCTTATTATATTGTCAAGTTCCTTATATATCTGTAGCTCTTGTTCATCTAGCAGGACACAAGTCAACACCTGTGTGTTAAGCGACCGTTGTAGGTCCTGATGCAGTGTTATAACCCTTCGGATCTGTGTATAAAGAACTCCAGTACACGCTGGAAGTATTCAAGTGTTAGGTAAAAAAAATAAACGGTCTCCGTGTGCGTATTTTGTTACTTAGAGGAAAAAACATACCTTCAAGGCCATGTTGAAAGGCGTTATTTTTCTTCCTTGGATCCTTCTTCTTTTTGTAGCCAACGTGGGAAGCACTGGATTTGTCGTCGCTGAAGCCTTTGTAGTACAAAAAATTCATTTTACAAACGTGGATGTTTAAAGAGGGTGAGAGCCTTACGTGGCTGCTGCCTCCTCACTCTCCCAGCATCACTCTTCTTCAGTCCACTAGGTTCCTGGGTTGATTTATGTACCTGTTCTCTTTTCTCTGTGATTCACTATACATCAGAAAATTCAGTGCGGAAGATAGTGTGGCGTCACAACGTCTTCAGCAGCGACAAGTATAAGTCTCATTTACCGTGAAGACAACACCGATGTTGTAGATAATGACGTTGTCACAATGCTCAGAGATACACAGGCTAACTGTCGCACCTACTCTGAGAGCAACACTGAGGATACTAACTCGACGCTTCTCTCTTTGTCGCTTCTGCAAATAGTTCACTTATTTTCCCTCTCACTTTTTAACACAATGTAAATTCTACCCATTATTTCACGTGCTCACTTCCGTTAGAACAGAACTTTGTTTCTTTAACTTACGTTGACGTATATCTGTCATAATCTTGCTGACGTGTACCAAGAGTGGTGCACATGAAGGGTGGGAAGCACCACTAATTGTTCTGTATCAAGTCTTGCTAGCGACACCATCTCTTGTGTACATCTTTTTCACTGCTACAAATACCAGTTGCTTCTCTGAGCACCATTACACGTAGCACCTGTTTGGCAGTGGTCGTGATTATGACGTCAAGGATAGTATGGAATTGTTGTGGCTGCCGGCAGTGGGCTAACCATGACGGAGACCACTGAATCTATTGTCATCGGTAACCTCTATCGCACCAGCTGTGATTGTACCCATCTTAGAAGTCTCAACTGTACACCGTACAGAGGAAATTGGTTTCAGAATGTTCTGTAATGAAGCAGCTTTGCCCGTCTCCATCTGTCACATGGCTAGATAAATACCAGTTGTGTTTACGTACTCACCCAAGTACTACAGTAACTACACAACCTGACTCGATGCCACATTTGCCATACCACGCATGCAGTTGTCCTACTTTGAAACCATATTTTTTATTCCAGTTAATAAAAAAGGCAAATCATTTAAAGTACATCCCATCTCATGCAGATAGTATGAATAGAATACGGAAGATTTCTTCACTGTAACTTGACCTTAAGATAGCAAAGGCCATTACACATTCGGCACAATAATATTTACCGATAATTCCATTCATTTTCAGATGGTCGAGGTAGAGGATTCCTCTTCGGCTTTACTTGAAGAGACACGTTTATTCTACATGTGACTTTATCCACTACAGACGGGATGCCGATCGACAGTGTCTTAGCAGCGCTCTCTGGAAGAAGATAGAGGAGCCATGAAGGAGGTGGGGTAGGCGGAACATAGAGACGTGCTAGCAGCTTCTCACGAGTGATGGTAAACAAGGGATGTAGGACACAGCTGATGCCCAAGGCGTGCCCCACTGTGTACACTTGGTTCCCAGGACGTGCCCGAGTGTGTACTGCCAACACATGCCACACCTCGGCTCACTCCGCCAACATGTCCTCGAGGTATATATAGCTAACGTGAGTTTTCTTTACCACTTCACTGCTTTCGTGATGCTTTGCCATGTGACTCAAGGTTAACATATTCAAAACTGCATATTTACTTACAGGGCCACACTATAGTTGTTACATCTGGTAGTTCAAAAGCCCTGTAAACCGAGGTCTTTAATATAGATTCTTATAATATTGTGACCACGAACGAGTGGTATTGATCAATAACAACACTGCACTAGCCAAGGACTCGAACCCATGCTGCTTTGGCCTGCCTCATGGTGAGCGAAAACACATGACGCCCTAATCCACTGGACCATACGATCCTTAAAAGCAGGCCAAAGCAGCATGGGTTTGAGTCCTTGGCTAGTGCAGTATTGTTATTGATAGATTCTTATATTCACACTTTTGTTGTTCTTTTATAAGTAAAATAAGCCAAATTATGTAGCATATAATAACCTACAGAAATGTACTAAACTCTTGAAATGCGCCAAGGGCCAAAACTAGTCTGTCCAGAAAAGCCATTAGTGAAAGTGTTATGTGGACGTAGGTCGTGCCCAAGGGTTAGGCATGGTACTGAGTATGATATTGTGTATATGGACTTGGAGTGTTATAGTTTCATATACAGTACTCCTCAACAAAACACTCACCACACCTCGCATTGTTATTATTATTATATTATAGGGAAGCTATAAAGTCGTAGGGATCATACTGGCTGGTAAATTAAAGGTAAACAAGCTTAATCCAAGAATGGTGATGGTGGCTCCAAATCGTTTAATTAAGAGGCATCCCCAGCATTTAAGTGTCTGCCTTCAAGGGACAACCTCACAGTAGCACTGGTATTAATAGTCCACGAGGGAAGTTAATCTTGGTCGATGATGTTGTGCCGTCTGGTGTCACCCAAGTGTGTCAACAAGTTCCTATAACAAGTATCTCAACCTTGTAATTCATTTCTACACATGCATTTGCTGCAACTTTTATATAAGTTTTATATCAATATTTGTGTTGGGATTTTTCCTGTTTCTGACGCAATGTGTTAATTTAGAGTATTTTAGCTTGTTCGTTTACGGTGTTATTCTGTTACATGCTTTTATTTGTGTTAATTACTTATTTTTTATACATAAAGCATGCATACCAAAAGGTACCTGGAGTTTACCTGGAGAGAGTTCCGGGGGTCAACGCCCCTGCGGCCCGGTCTGTGACCAGGCCTCCTGGTGGATCAGAGCCTGATCAACCAGGCTGTTGCTGCTGGCTGCACGCAAACCAACGTACGAGCCACAGCCCGGCTGATCCGGAACTGACTTTAGGTGCTTGTCCAGTGCCAGCTTGAAGACTGCCAGGGGTCTGTTGGTAATCCCCCTTATGTGTGCTGGGAGGCAGTTGAACAGTCTCGGGCCCCTGACACTTATTGTATGGTCTCTTAACGTGCTAGTGACACCCCTGCTTTTCATTGGGGGGATGGTGCATCGTCTGCCAAGTCTTTTGCCTTCGTAGTGAGTGATTCTCGTGTGCAAGTTCGGTACTAGTCCCTCTAGGATTTTCCAGGTGTATATAATCATGTATCTCTCCCTCCTGCGTTCCAGGGAATACAGGTTTAGGAACCTCAAGCGCTCCCAATAATTGAGGTGTTTTATCTCCGTTATGCGCGCCGTGAAAGTTCTCTGTACATTTTCTAGGTCGGCAATTTCACCTGCCTTGAAAGGTGCTGTTAGTGTGCAGCAATATTCCAGCCTAGATAGAACAAGTGACCTGAAGAGTGTCATCATGGGCTTGGCCTCCCTAGTTTTGAAGGTTCTCATTATCCATCCATATATATATATATATATATATATATATATATATATATATATATATATATATATATATATATATATATATATATATATATATATATATAGCTAGCTTGACTGCAAGCCATGTTTCTTCCTAACGCTGGGCACATCAGTAAACCTCGAGCATGGTCCCCAGCTACTTCAATCTCTGTATGTTATGGCCCCACGATCAGTCCTATACTCAGTACACCTCGCAGAATCAAGCAAAAGTATATACAAAGCAGCATCGCAGTCAGCAGTCTCCATCGTGGGTTCGAATCCTGTTGGCTGAGGTACACATTTTACTGAGAGCGTCTCTGAGCGGGAAGAGATGATCTTAGACGATCTCAACGTTGTTGTGCCTTCCGTGCAGTTCTCATGAAGCCTATAAATAATATAACATAGTCCAGATATAGGCCATCAACGCTGATGGCTCCTTCAAGTGTAACAGGGAGAACGAGAAGTGCTGTCAACTTGATGGTATTTCAGACATATGCTACGGGTCATCATATGACTAAGACCCGCGTCAGGAAGCACTTGTCCTGTTTCATGACAAACCTTACCTAAGCTAAATTAGAATTAATAACTGGGTTCCACCATAAGAACTGAACTGCTTGCCATGTATATTACTTTCAAACTTGTAGAAGCTACAACTACAGCCAGTTTAAGCCAGTTAAGTCAGTGGCCCGGTGGCCTGGTGGCTAAAGCTCCCGCTTCACACACGGAGGGCCCGGGTTCGATTCCCGGCGGGTGGAAACATTCGACACGTTTCCTTACACCTGTTGTCCTGTTCACCTAGCAGCAAATAGGTACCTGGGTGTTAGTCGACTGGTGTGGGTCGCATCCTGGGGGACAAGATTAAGGACCCCAATGGAAATAAGTTAGACAGTCCTCGATGACGCACTGACTTTCTTGGGTTATCCTGGGTGGCTAACCCTCCGGGGTTAAAAATCCGAACGAAATCTTATCTTATCTTATCTGTTATCACTATTTTCTCTAAACAGCCTGAGATCTGAATGTAACATGCTTATATATAAAGACAGAAATATACACAAATTATTGAAAAGGAACTAAGGTTAAATGTTTGTGAAATCTCTCTGACATAGGTCTCTGGGATGATCAGGTCAGTGACTGGACTAAGTAGCATTAAATAAAGAAAATGTTAAATATCATTTTGGTTTCTCAAACAAGTGACGTAGGTAGGATTTTTGGCACCCAGGAGGAGTTATCCCATTGCCACCCCTTGTTCTGCCATTGTCCATTCTGTTGGATGTCCAGAAAAATGATTCATTCTGCATAATATTCAATATAATCAGCTGAATTTTCGTAAAGGTGTACAAAAATTGTTTCCATATGAACAAATTATACATAATATAATTCTTAATAAATATATAAATTGTAACTTATTACACCCAATTATGTGTTTTATAATATTGATAATATTTTGTGGCCAGATTTCACATTATGTTGCTTATTAGTTACAACTAAAGTGTTGTTTTATATTCATACAGTTCCTGCCATTAATCTTTAATTTTGATAGTCCACTTTTACGGTTACCTGTTAGTAGGCTGTTACACATTGGTCTTTTCTGCAAAAGTCATAAGTCCAATATTATCACATACTGTCTGTATACAACATAAGAATGGTTTGCACTCATCGATACGTTTTATAAACTATGCACAAGAATATTATCAACATAGCTAATTGGAATATTACTGGGGGTATCTGGTGTAAATTTAAGCAAGGCATTGATTATTAAACAACGTAAGACTTAATACACCACCTTGAGTAGTGCCAACTTGCATTTCTTTGATTTCAATTTTATATCCCTGAAACAATGTCGCTGAGTTTGTTCTTGACATTCCCAAGAATCCACTGTAAAAGCAGACCACCAATGTCTGTTTTAACTACTTCATATAAAATGATTTCTTTCTTCAGGCGGGAGAGATACATGATTATATACACCTGGAAAATCCTAGAGGGACTAGTACCGAACTTGCACACGAAAATCACTCACTACGAAAGCAAAAGACTTAGCAGACGATGCACCATCCCCCCAATGAAAAGCAGGGGTGTCACTAGCACGTTAAGAGACCATACAATAAGTGTCAGGGGCCCGAGACTGTTCAACTGCCTCCCAGCATACATAAGGGGGATTACCAACAGACCCCTGGCAGTCTTCAAGCTGGCACTGGACAAGCACCTAAAGTCAGTTCCTGATCAGCCGGGCTGTGGCTCGTACGTTGGTTTGCGTGCAGCCAGCAGCAACAGCCTGCTTGATCAGGCTCTGATCCACCAGGAGGCCTGGTCACAGACCGAGCCGCGGGGGCGTTGACCCCCGGAACTCTCTCCAGGTAAACTCCAGGTAAACTCAGTAACATCGAAAACTTTTATAATATCGAGAAGAGTCGTGTATGTGCGTCCCCGTTTACAGTTAAAAAATGTTACCATACAGTTTAGAATACATTTACCATATTTGAATCCATTAATACTGAGTGATATGTATTCTTTAATTCTATATAGTAATTTGTTAAGTACCATCCTTTCAAATGTTTTTCACAGACAGCTACTCAGCTAGATGTCAGAAACACATTATGTTGATTATGTTTCTGAATTGGAACAATAATGCTATTGGTTCAAGAGGACGGTAACTGACCCATAATATAACTCATATTACACAGTTCTAACAGTGTGTCACCTGGTACACTTCTCAGTAATCTAATAACATAGGTGATACCGTCCTCTCCACAGGCATTGACTTTGCCCCTGGTGAGAGCAGCATCTAATTCATATTTGGTATATAGGGTATCACATTCACAATGCTGTGTCTTTAACATAAATTGAACAAGATTTTGTCTGTTATGGGACTTTTTTTTTCTAAGTTCTACCTGATTAACTCATTTGCTTTGTGTACCGGATTTGGATGAGCGACTTTCTACTCCTTTTTTTTTAAATTATTTAACCTTTCCATGCTTTACCCAGGGATGTGTGTTAATTGAGTCTACTAACATATTTTTCCCAGTCATTTCTTCCTAAGCTCAGTTATTATTAATTTTACAGCAACAAAAGAGACTTGAAATGATTTTATAATTCGAGGAGTCCTGAGGCCCTTATAACCTTCCCAGTTTGTTAAGCCGTTGACTTAAATTCTCTAAATTTGAG